TCAACAAATGTCATCCGGTGGATTCCTTCAAGCATAGGAAACTACCAAACTCATTTGTCACCGATACACTGATGCCAGATAAGCATTCTATCCCTTTACTCTTTTATCGGTAGAACTAACAATTTTCTGCAAGTATCGGCGTATACAAAGTGATCTAGGATCGCAGAACGTCTTAAATCATTCTCCGTCCCTATCGAGTACTTTGACTATCGTTTTTGAAACTGACGCTTCTACAAACTTAGTCAAAGTGGGGGCTTCTGTAGACACCTAAAAATGTCTCCCCAAAACCAAACCTGATGATGAACAACCTTTCATCGCCATTATTGGTCGGGTTGAGTATTTAATCTTTGGAGTGCTTAAATACATATTTATATTTCATAAACCAACCCAACTCCTATCCCATTTCCCCAAACCATAACTTATTTTCCTCTTTTCGTGCCTTTAAACCCAAAATAATTCATTTCGAGTCCTTTAAAATCATTCATTTCGTGTCCTTTGTATAAAAACGTTTCTTCCAGTTTATTTTGGTCCATAATCTGGGTCCAATGATTGAATAGTTGGATGGGGCTTGAAAAGATATTTCCAACAATATATTATAAGCCCAAATCCGATTTATAACGAATAAGTTATGGCCAAAATATTAAACCGAGCCAAAACCTAACCTAAGCTCACCTTACCTACGACCCAATGATCATGTGGAGGGTCCAAATTATTTAATCCCATTCCTAAACCAATTAGGATTAATTGGAAGCTTCTATAATTTTCTAAAAGATCCTAATTATCCTTTTTGAAAATATAAGATTAAAGAGTTTGAAATTGAATAAAACTCCTTTTTTTGAAAATCCTATTTATATCCGAATTGAAAGATTTTCATAGATAGACAGATATTATTTTCGTGCTTCATAGTTTTTATCCAAATTTTATATGGTTGGATATCCCTTGAAATTATCTTTCCAATGATATATTATAATATCAATTTCGAGCTATAACGAAAAAGATATGAATTAAATAAAAAACTCTATCCAAAACTGACACCGTCTCACTATTTCGGCTATATCTTTTGTTATACAAAATATTTTAATATGATTACAATTTTTTAGAAAGTAGAATTCAATAGATTTCCAATGATATCTTATTCATCTTATTCTGATTTCTGGATCAAAAGATATGATAAAAAACAAAAACCGCAAAAATTGCTGTCTATCGAGCTTTATTTCGATTTAATTCGGATCTTTTCTTGATTCTTCGACCCTCTTTTTTTCTCTATAAATAGAGGTCATATGACCCCTTTTCCAATCATCAACAAGCTTGATCACAAAATAATTCTTTTCTCCCTCTTGACCCTAAACACTAGCCTTCTTATTCTTTCATTCCTTCCCATAAGCACTCCAAGGAGTCCATACTTAACCCGAGGTTCCGTCCTTAAACCAAGGCGTGAAAGGTATAATTGACTGAGGGTTTGGACCAAATCATCTCTACATTTATTTAATTAAATTATTTTAATTTGATTTATATTTTTATTGAAGTTACTAACAGTTTATCCATGATGTAGCAATTTAAAGGAACGCGCGGAAAGTGAGTAATTAATCACTTAATTACTCTTATTTTTATTCTTGTCGCTAGCATCATGATTAGGTTATTTTATATTTAATTTGACTAACGATATTATTTTTGAATTGCTTCCAATATTAATGTTAATTCTATTATATTTTTTATGATTACCATATTGCATGTTTAAAGGGAATATGTAATTGAAAATCACGCCTAATAAGATAATTTGGACAACCGGTTTAGGTTCCTTTTTAATCTTGTTATTTAATCAAGTGATTACAATATTTTAGAATTATGTGTTGCATTAATATTTAACCAATTTAGCCTAATAATAGTTTGGAGCAAATTGAATATTTGTTTGCATGCCTTTAAGATTGCAGGAATCACTTTTCACTATAAGAATCGAGTAGAGGCCAATACGGGCGAATGTGACTCCATGACTCACTTCGTACCATCATCCCCGATCCTCCTTTCGTGGTTCCAAACAATATGGAGTTAGTAATCTCATGGATTATGAATGGGGTGTACGGGTCAATAGTTGTTGCCTTCGTTGTCCCTTATTCGTGGTTGCCTTTTATGATCCCTGAAAGGTTTACAAGTTCCTTAAAAACTCGTTGGCGGTTCCCTACTTTCCTTGTCCCTAATCGTATATGTCAATTCCCACTTCCTATGAGTGCCAAGCATATTCACACATGCTTTAACGTAGGCTCACTTCAAATGACGCCTACAGTTAGTAACTTCAAGGAAAATATAAAATCGAAAAAATTAAATTAAATAATAATTGAAAGATAGATTTGGGACCAAACCCTCATAAATTAAAACCTTTCACCTCTAGGGCGAAGGCAACTTCGAACAATGCTAAGTGTTTCTTGGTCTTGTGAATGCGGAATATTGTATGAGACAACGGCTAGTTTAGAAAAGAGAGAGAAAAAATCTTGAAAATAAGAGAGAATAAGAAAAATAATTGTTGTTTATGATTCAAAACGGAGGTTTTAGGAGGCTATTTATAGAGAAAATCAGTCGGACGGATAGAAAAACAAATAAGAGTTTCAAAGAGAATAAAACAAGATTAGCGCCAGGCGCTAATCTTGTCGTCAGGCGCTAGTAATTAATTTCACGCGTTTTCTTAGTTTTGATAAATTTTAGCCGTACAGAAGGGAAAAATCGTGTTTTCCTTAAAAACACTTCTTTTATTCTGATTAAAACTCTAAAAAGTCAACCAAAGTCAATTTATCAATGCTAATTGAATTTGGAATGAAAAGAATCTTATAGAAGAATCTAGAAGACTAAAATCAATTCTAATTGCTTTAGGAATGATAAATCCATATTAGGCCATCCTCTAGATCATTGGACGGTATATAAAGATCAAACCGGGCCCAGTTTAGTGATTTGGCCATAACTTCCTCATTATTCATCGGAATTGAGCTTATAATATATCGCTGGAAAGATCTTTTAAAGCCCCATCCAACTATAACATTATTGGACCCTTTCCATGGACCAAACCAAACTGGATTGACTGTTTTCTTAAAATAGGTTTTCAAAAACAGAGAGAAAGAAAAGAATAAAAACTATACGCAACACTAGACTTTCCACACTTTCACTTTATTCGATTATGATTTGACGTGAATGGTACTCATCATTGGGTTTGATTTTGGGGAGACAAAGATGGGTGTCTACAGAAGCCCCCACTTTGACTGAGTTTGGAGAAACGCAAGTTTCGAAAATAAAAGTCAAAGTATCGATAGGGACGGAGAATGATTCAGAACATTATGCGATCCTAAACCATTCTTGTAACGCCGATACCTGCAAACTAGCGTTAGTTAAAAAGATAAAAGAGATAAGAAATGCGTATCTTGCATCGTCGAGCACACGTCTCTGAAGGTAACCGAGTCGTTGCTGTTGCTGTATTTGTTGTGACAACCTTCCGCAAGCCAGGGAACGCCATCATGCTGTTTTTTTTTTACGATCTTCTGCAAGATAGAGAATACCGCTTGAAGACTGTTACGCCTTTAACTGCCTCCAATTCCACCGTGATAGACTTCTGCAAGCTAGAGAATCCCATCAAAGATTGCTTCGCCTAAAACGACCTTCTAGCGCTTTTTGACCATCTTCCGCAAGCCAGGGTAGATGATCGAAGATAACTTTGCTTGAAATGACCTCCAGTTGTTTGTGAAAACTCTCCGCAAGCTAGGGAACACTGTCGAAGATATCCTCGCCTGAAGCTGTCCTCATTTGTTGCGATAATATTCCGAGGAAAATTATCGAAGACCCACGCCTGTCGATCTTTTGCTTTGCTATGCCTATATGGCGGCGCTTTTACTTCTTTTGAACCTGTACGTTGGTGCTTTCTGAATTGTGAACCAGTATGTCGGTGCCTTCGCTGTTTATGAACCATTATGTTGGTGCTTTTTGATGAGCAAATGCTTAGGCACTTTAAGCTAAGTGAGACGATCATTCATCAGGTCGATCACTTTATGCAATTGTAATCAAGCCGATTACTAAATCATGTCAAACTGCTTAGAGGGCTAACTGGCGTACCAAGGAACCCAAAATTGCTGTAAGAGGTCGAAATAACCGTTCTGAGTGGCTGAGCATTCTGTCGCCGCTAAAATTCCTCTGGCGCCACAAATTTAATTTGACTTTAGCGCCAGGCGCTGGAACTAGCGCCAGGCGCTAAACCCTATTGACAGGCGCCAAATCCTGTCGCGTGGCGCTAGAGTCGGGATTTCCGTATAATCCCTTTCTTCGTCATTTTCGCTGATCTGCTCGTTTTTGTTCAAAAATCGCTGCTGAGATTCAATTCCCTCGTTCTTGCTTGTTTCTCAACCGAATTCGCTCAAGTTTGTTGCAAATCGAAGCTTCTTTCATCTACTTTCCCGATCTATATAAGTTTTCTCCAAACTCACTCCAGTTTTGATGAATTTTGCACATGTTTGTTCACGAATTTCTTAAAAATTCGAAACTTATTATGCTTAATTCACTTTGTTTGTCAAATTTTATGCCACGAAATTGCTTGATTATGTTTATATATTGCATTGGGAGTAATTTGACACTTGTTTGACTCAATTTGGTGAAGAAACGAATAAATCACCAGTGTTGGACCTTTTAAGGTCGGGAATACAATGTGGCTTGTTCTTGATGTTTTTGCTAGCAATTCTTGTCCAATTAGTCACAATAATTACCATAGTATTGCAAGAAATTGTTTGGATGCTTGAAAAATGTCGTGTATGCTCAATTTGAAATTGTGCTTTGTTTTAGTACTACGTACTCTGTTTTTTGCGAACATAGTATCATACGGCTAGGCGAACCTTATATACTATAGAACCTTAATTTATGATGATTTTGCATAATGTAGTATTGCTAGATATCGAGGTTCGGGTTCATGGTCCCGAGACACACGACGGAAGCATGAGCCCGTAGAGGAGGATGCCGACCCGTCCACTTCTCTTAGTCCCTTCCCGGAGTGGGATGAGCGGACTCTGTACTTCTCCCCCGTCCACCACATTTCTGAGAGGGTGCGACGTGGGATCACTGCTGGTAGGACATGCTACCACGGCTCAGGCTGCGATAACGTGGGTTTTTCCTCTGTCCTTCCTCGTCATTTCCACCTAACTCTAATCTTTCTCAATCTCTATCCTCTCCTTCCTCTCCAAGTCACACTAAAACAATATTAGGAAACAATATTAGCGGGTCGATAGCGGTGAAAAATTATTTGGCGACAATCGGTGGTTAGTGGTGGTAACGTTAGTATAAGTGAAGGCAGGTCGATAGCGGTGGTCGATTGAAGAACAAGAAGACTAGAAATCGTTACTGATATCTAAATTTGATAAAGGTATGTGTTAAAACTTTGATTGTCCTACTTTAATTTGCTCGATTAATTTGATGTCAATTTGCTTTATTTTGTGATTAAGAATTAATGGATTGGTGGATTGTGTTTTTTTTTTTTTTTGTTTTTTTTTTGTAAGTTCTTAAAATTCATGTATAATGTAGAATAAGAAGATACGGAGTATGAAAGTGCTTTTTTTTTTTTTTTTTTATAATTTCTTATGAATTAATAAGTACAAATTTCCAATTACCGTGGGTTAATTTGCTGTTGAAATTCATAAGTTTTACTTTAATTACTTATAATTACATATTTGAATTTTTGATGAATTGCAGATTTGAAGTACTTTATTGGTATGTTGTTGCAAAATTAAGGTGCTGTCCATAGCTTGTTGGGAAATATTGAGGTTAGCTACGCTTAGCATTGATAAGTTGGATTTCTTTGAATTAGAGAGGCTTAAAGATGTCAGATGTGTTACTAATTCATTTTTGTTACTTTATTGACTTATTGTTTTAATGGATGAAATTGAGATTAATCTTTTCTAAATTTTGTTTGTTATAAATTGTCAATTGAACTTGCAGATGACATTGTAGATATCGTTGGTTTATTCGAGCTTTGAGGACTGCAAATCGGCATAATACATTCCTCCTGTTATAATATTAGTTCGTATTTGTAGATTTCAAATTAGTTTATAAATGTAACTTGTAACAATTTCATTCAGATAATAAAATTTTTTTGATGATTAATTTTAAGCAATTACACATTCTTTTGTTGATTTGGTTTACTTGCATTTTTTTTTTGGTCAAATTTAATAGAGTATAAAATTTCAAATTTTAAATTATAAATTTCAAATTTCAATACAAAATAATAAACCGCCATTTTTTTTTAATTAAAATAGTGATCAAAGAGACCCAATTTCTTTGATATGGGATCTATTATATATATGGCAGGGAGACCTCATTTCTTTAAGGACATGTCTCTTCCCCTATAAATTAATACTAAAAATTAGTAGGATAACATACCCCATTTCTCAAATATTGGCTCTCTTCTTTCTTAAAAACAGACCCCTTCTTCCTTCAAAAAAAAAAAAAAAAACAAAAAACAGACCCCTTCTTAGACGCGGTCTCTTAATCAAACAGACCCCTGAGATAAAGACCCGTCCAAGTGCGGTCTCTAAGGCATATTTGAACGGGTCTCTTTGCCTATTTTTGTAATAGTGGGGTGTCTTAGATGACTGCCCCGGGTTCTTCTTATTAGTCCCTTTGGACTTAGAAATGTAGGACTTTAACATCCCTTTGTCAGCCAGACGGTCCAACGCCCGCTGAAAGCTGAAGTAGTTGTTGGTGTCATGGCCAACTTCCTCATGGTATTGGAAAAATTTATTTTAATTCCTTGATTGAATGGAACTTTTCGTTGGATTCGGCTTCTCTAGAGACAGCCGGTCCTTGATCTCCATGAGGATGGAGTTGCAATCCTTGTTAAACTCGTACTTGGGAACGTACTGTTTAAATTCTTTCTTTTTCTTCAAGGACGACTGGTCAGAATCATCCACCGCCCAGACTTCTTTTCTCTTCTTTCTCTCATCTTTTTTTCTTTATCGGTTGAGCAGGCCGACTGTCTTTTTGTCTGTCAGACTTCTTAGAGTTCGACTAACTACCAGGCGAGCAGAGGTCGATTGCTTGAATATAGCTTTCCGCCTCCCTCAGGGCCGCCTGTAGGGTAAATGCCCCTTATCTGACAAGGTCGAAATTAAAGGTTGACTCGTCTCTCAGACCCTTAAAGAAGTCTGCAAAGACTACTTCGTCAGATAGTCCCTGAATTTGAATTCTAGTCAGATAGAATTGCCTGACGTAAGAGCGTAATCCTTTTCTCTCTCCCTACTTAATGGTGCTTAAGTCGAGACTTGTTTTCTTCGCAGGGATGTTCATTGCGAAGTTGGAAGCAAACAAGAAGGCAAGCTTCTTGAAACTGTTAATGGAACCGGCTGGCAAGTTGCCAAACCATTGTTGGGCAATGCCCTTCAATGTAGCTAGGAAGCATCGACACTAAGTGGCATCGTCCAACCCCTGTAAATACATGAGGTTGGTTTATTCCATGAGGTGATCTTCCGGGTTGGAGGTACCATCATAAGTACCTACCAACACATTTTTAACCTTGGTCGGCTATGCCACCTTGGATATTTCGTGGGTGAACGCAGAAGGTTGTTCACCCAGGCAGAGTAGACGAAGCTGCCAGTCCATTGGCTGGACATTATTGTATGTCGCCTGACCTCCGAAGAGAGTCGACTGCATGAAATGGGGAGAATACGGGCCGTAGACCATAGGCGGTACGTACGGTGCATTCCCAATCATTTGAGGGCCATAATGGACGGTATTACCGCCTATATGGCTCTCATGCAAGGATTGTACATTCCCTGCAGATGTATTCTTAAAGCTGTTTGGAAAGCTTAAAGTGGAAGCTGACTCAGACAACTGTTGATTCCTCTTGCGGGTGATGATCTCCCGTGCATCAAGAGTGGATTTTTTTGTTTCCCGGGTATTGTTGGTATTCCCCTTGGGCAGAAGAATCTTGGACCAGTCAAGGGTCCTGGCTGCCTTCTCTTTTTGATGCGGAGTTGGCTGCCTGCCCCTGACTAGCTTCCTCTTTTCTAGAGGAGTCTTCCTTGCCGACTGACCCATACTTGGGCCAACCCGGCTCTTGGTGATCAGATCCTTGATTTCACCCTTGAAACTAGTCATGAATTTCATGAGTTCGTCTCGAGTGACTGGAGCAGATCCACCGGTCCTATGGGTTTCCCCTTCCAGCTGACCAAGGGGTCGACTTGTACTCGCCTAGCTTGCACCGCGTTCCAGAGTGTCCCTAGGCAGATGCGCTTGGTTATCAGATAGCCATCATTGGCTATATAGGTTTCGACCTGAGGATCATCGTCCTCTTGGTCAGTAAACACCTCCAGCTTGTCTACTGGACGTTCAAGAGGTGGTACAGACTCTTGAACCATCCTCCAGGTACTCTCCCCACAGACGACGCCTAATGTTTTGGATGTTTTTGTCCCTCGGGAGAGTTAGGTCACAAAGACTGGTCCGGCTCGAACTGTACCTGCAAAAACATGGAGACTCCGGTTGTAGGAGCTCCACCTCCGACGATCAAGTTAGTAACTTGAAAAGGAATGATAAAGAGTGCGGAAATTTAGGTGGGTATCTGCTTGGATTCCAAGCTCAGATGTTTCTCTGATGTGAGAGAATGTAGGTGTAATAAATGATTGATTGTGTCCCAAAAGGGGAAAATATCTCCCTATTTATAGGGTCGTTGGATGGTGTGCCCCTTTCTAGGTCACTTGACCTAGATTTTAGTGGGTTGCGCCGTTTTACGGCGTTCTAGGAAATTGGACCCTTAAAGGATGCACTTTCAGAAGATATCTGAAGGGGACACGTGTTAGATGGCCATTGGGCCACATGGACTAGCCTGGGTTTGACACGTGGCTTTCTCTCATTGGTCCACATGTCTAGGGTATTTTTACCATAAACAACTTTTTATGATCCGTGAACGGTTTACAAGTTCCTTAAAAACTTGTTGGCGGCTCCCTACTTTGCTTTGTCCCTAATCGTATATGTCAACTCCCACTTCCTATATATGAGTGCCAAACATATTCACACATTCTTTAACATAGGCACACTTCAAACGACTCCTATAGTCCCCTTCCGGGGGCAGATCCCTGTCAAAGAAGGAATTCAGAATACTGGTACTTGGCAATTCAATAGTGAGAAAGCTGACCAGTCCTTGAGGAGTCATATCATTATCAACTCCTATTTTCACCAGAGCATTCATCACAGTCTTTTGATGCTCGTAAGCGGTGGACAAAAGCTTCCATTAATTCATTTCCACTTTAGTCTTTTGTAATTGTTTGGTCACATCGTAGTTCACAGGGTCGATGGGATCAACTATTGGTTCTGATTGCGGTAGAGGTGGAGGTGGACTAGGCTGTTTCAACCGTCCATTTCTAGTGAGAACCTTGACCTCAAGGTCTCCCCAAACATCTTCACTAGTGCCAAGAGATGAACAGGATATCTTTGAGATAGACGTCTTCATCGTCACTATCCCAAATTCCATTCACTTTTCACAGTGTGAAACGAATACAACTTCTGGTAGAGGTTCACTCACAGGTTGAATGAGTATTGACGGATAAAAGGAGACTTCATCTCCCATGATAGCCAAAGCATTAGAAAGGGCACCTGTTTGAATATTAGGCTTCTTGCCCCTAGAGGGACAGGAAGCTGATTAGCATCAATCAGGTCTTGGATTGCATCCTTCAACCTCCAACACTTCTCAGTAGTATGACCTTTGCCTTGATGAAACTTTCAATGAGCATTGGGGTCATAGCTAGCAGTTCTTTTCTCTGGTCGAGGTTCTAGAAAGGGTCCAATTGGCATAATCAGTCCTTGACTATGCAAGCGATCAAAAGCAGTATCGTAGCTCAATCCCTGTAGACACCCAAATGTGTCTCCCCAAAGCCAAACCCAGTGATGAATACCTTTCACGTCATTTGATTATCGAATAAAGTGAAAGTGTGAAAAGTCTAGTGATGAGGATGTTTTTATTAAAATATCTCTTCTTTCTTTTTTTGAAAATATTTCTTTTCCTACCCTAATTATGAAAAACGTACATTCAAGTTTAGTTTGGTCCATGGAAAGGGTCCAATAATATTGTAGTTGGATAGGGCTTGAAAAGACCTTTTCAACGATATATTATAAGCCCAATTTTGATGATTAATGAGGACGTTATGGCAAAAATACTAAAGTGGGCCCGGTTTAGTTTTTATATGCGGCCTAATGATCTAGAGGAGGGTCTATTATTAATTATCATTCTTAAAGCTATTAGGATTTATTATAGTCTTCTAAAATATTCTAGAAGGTTCTCTTACATCCTAATGGAATTAGGATTGATAATTGTGTTTCTAAGAGTTTGAAATTGAATAAAACTACTCCTTTTTAAAGTCCTTGTTTTGTACAAAGTGGAATATATTCAAATATTATTTTCGTGCCTCATAAACTTTATCCAAGTTTTATAAGGTTCGATAGACCTTGAAATTATCTTTCCAATGACATATAATAATATTAAGTCCGAGCTATAACGAAAAAGATATGAATGGAATATAAAACTCTATCCAAAACTGACACCCTTCCACTATTTTGGCCATATCTTTTTTTTCTACAAAAGATGTTAATCCGATTCTAACTGGGTTGGAAAGTATACTTCAAGAGCTTTCAAACAACATATTATATGACTTATTTGGGATTCTGGATCAAAAGATATGATAAAAACAATATCCGCAAAAAAATTATCTTGCAGAGCCGGACAACATGCTTGTCGCCTGGCGACGGCTGGCGACAGGTCATGTTGTTGGCGACAGCTCGCGACAGGTCATTTTTTGGCGACAACGTTGGTTTTTATTCCTCTTCAAACTCTGATTCGTTTTTAATCATATCTGGCTGATTTTCTTTATAAATAGCCTCCCAAAATCTCCGTTTTCGATCACCAAATCTCATCAAGAATATCTTGATATTCTCACTCTCTCTTTCTAAACTAGCTTTTCTCAAACTAAACTCCGCATTCACAAAATCTAGACACACCTAGCTAAGTTTGAAGTTGCCTTCTTAGTATGATGTTTAGGGTAAAAATAAGATTCTTAATTATATCAATATGATTTCTGTGATGCTTCCTATTGTCTTTCTAAATTTCATGTTAGTATCATGTTAGGGCTAAAGCTTTGATCTTTGATGTTTAGTGACATTCTAGGGTTTGTTATTAACCTTGTTAGTATCATGCCTAGGATCTTGCTA